CCTCCAACCAAATATGGCCTCAAACCGAGTAGCGATGGCCTCCAACCTACTAAGGATGGCCGTAGTCCATTCATGTATTTTCTGAGCTTCCTAAGAGCTTCACAGGGGACAGAGTCTGGGCGTAATACATGTTCCTACCTGGTCGGGCAGCTCTACCAAGGTCCTGGCCTTTGCTGGTGAAGTTGAATTGCCCTCCCAAGAGCATCCCAGGTACAGTCGACCTGTTCAAAAAAGATGAACACGCTGTTGAATAAGGTAGAAAAGAAGGCAGGAAAGAAAGAAGTGCCGTTGACGACAAGAAAAGACAGGGACAAGGCAAGAGAGGTCTAAAGGCCCTGAACCACGTTGTAGGTCGATTGATTCTCTCCCTTTTCCTCTCAAGCTTTGCCTGCGGGGGAACTCAGAGCAATCGAATCTAAGGGCACCACTTTTGCATTCCCTGACGATTCAACTATGAGATTGTCCTCGTAGAACAAGAAGAAGAAGAAGATTCAACTTTCATATTATGTACAAAAAAGAGAAACAAATCATACAATGCACATATTATACTATGTTGTATTATATTAAATTATGTTACAGTATATTATATCAATTATCATATAGTATTACTTTCATGTTATGCACATTGTTGTGTAAGCAGGTCCAGTTTTTTCCAAAAGCCCAGACTGGCTTGACAGCTACTTACACCGGGGTGCTCTTTTACAAGGTGTTTGGTCACAAGAAGGTTTCGGACATGAAGTGCAAAAGGTCTTTGGAGGCCATTGCTGGTAGGTTGGAGGCCATCTCTATTAGGCACCTTTTCCTACTAGTTTGGAGACCATTCCATGTAGGAAAACATCTTGAACGGACGCACCTGAGTTGCGGTGATCATTGTCCTCGACCAGATCGAGGATGCTGCCAGCAACGAAGACCGGCGTGTCACCCACAAGATTGCCAGGGGCTCCGAGAGCAAGGGAGATGACTTGAGTTGATGGAACGAAAGAAGCTTGCTACTAGGAACAAGAAGCTAGTAGAAACAATCTATAAATTAGAATTTAATTAGAATCAAATTAACATTAGTAGAGGAGGCTACTAGTTGGAACGAAAGAAAGGTCTAAAGGTCTGAAAGAAATGTCTGGCAGGAAGGGGTAGTAGCAAGGACGCTACTAGTAGCTCCTGGCCTTACCACTAGCAACAAGACCCTACTAGTAACAATGGAGAGCGACACTGCGATGACAATGGAGTCGCTCCGCTAAGCACGTCTCCCAAGCTGAGGTGAAAAATGTCGTGACTGGCTTGAGCATTTTGGTGGGTTTCACGTGGGAGACCACCATGGACGGATGTGCCGACACTTGGAGCATGAAGTCCAGAGAATGACGGGGGCTATTGTTTTCCACCAAAGTGATTTGGTTTGCAAGAGATCATGTGGTTGGAGGCCATCCCTAGTAGGTTGGAGGCCATCGCTACCAGGTTCATTTTGCTATTAGGTTGGAGGCACCGGGCCTAAGTGGAGTGAAGACAATCTCATTCATGGCATCAGCGCCGTGCTAGCAGAGGAAGCAGTCTTCTCCACCATTCACGAGAACGAGAGGGCGCGATTGGCTGCTGGGCCAAGCAGTTTTGACACAGCGAAAGAGGTGATGAGAGTATCCGATGGTGAAAACATGTTGAAGGCAATCGCTAGTAGGTTGGAGCCCATCGGGTACACAGTGTACTTGGAACATTCCCCAGGTACACAGGTGGGTTCGTGAAGTACCAGGCCTGAGAAATAGGAGTTTTTCTACCCAAGGTGCCTTACCATCCAGAAAAGTCTAGTGTCAGTGTCTATCAAGAAAACGCAACGTTACATGGTTGCAGTGACCTTTTAGATGTTTCTTCCCGAAAGCATTGCGAAGGGTTCTTCCGGAAAATCACTTGAACACTTACACTTCTATACTTACAATGGCACTCATCCAAGTGTAAGCATGCAAGTGTAGCGGAGGGTGGGACGAACAGCGTCAACCGAAAATGCAACCCTCTGCGGAGATCGTGCGTGTCGATTTCGCGAAATGCAGGCGAGAGTGCGATTTGGCCCATGCCCAGAGTGCCATTTGTCCGGTTCCGGCGCAACCCTTTGCCGAGATCGTGCGTGTCGAGGGTGCGAAATGCAGGCGAGAGTGCGTTTTGGAGACTTGCCGCTTCACTTTTGGAGGAAGTCTCGTACGAAGCGCTCGTTTTGGAGACTTGCCGCTTGACTTTTGGAGGAAGTCTCGGACGAAGCGCGCGTGTGATATGTTTGCTTCTAGTGTGTGGATAGACCGTGTGGACAAGGTACGTTCGTGATGTCGCAGTGCCACTGGGATTTGCGCGGCCTTGGTGGGAAGTGCGTTTGCGTGGCGCCGTGCCAGTGGGGAGCGCGAAACATGCTGGCGTAAACGCGGCGTGTCACATGATGTCGCAGTGCCATGGGGATCTGCGCGGCCTTGGTGGGAAGTGCGTTTGCATGGCGCCGTGCCACTGGGGAGCGCGAAACATGCTGGCGTAAGCGCGGCGTGTCGCTGGTGAGCGGGATCATTGTGGCATCAAGAGTGTCCCAAAAGAGTGCCCCGCAAGAGCTTCCTACAAGAGTGACCCACAAGAGTGTCCTACAAGACGGTGTGTCGCTGGTGAGAGGGATGGTTGGTGGTATTATGTGATACGTTTGCTTCTAGTATGTGGCGGACCTCTTCAGCGTTGTGCTGACACAGCGAGAAATGCACCAAGGTTGGCGCTCCTGAGCCACAACACTGCGCTGCCGTTTCATTTGATCGACGTCTACACCCCCTCACCGCTGTACACACACTTAGGATAGGGTGAAAGCGGTGCCACACGCCGGCCTAGGGTTCCATTTCCTAAGAGTACACGCACGAACCACGGGATCCTGGGGGTCTTCAAGAGGAAGTAGGGCCCAAAAGCAAAAAAGAACGAACGGCGGACGAACAGGCTGACGACGTTCCGCTCGCATCTGCAGTGCAAAGAAAAAACAACAAAACATCAGAGCATCGAGGTTCTTGGCTTAGCCTCTTGCCATACGGAAAGTGGAAAATTGCAGGTACGTTCGGATGATCAGTCCGAATATCCCACTCTGTGACCTAGCTTCGTTGAACTGGGTCAGTCACAGAGTGCCCAGTTCGCCTGCAAAAGGATCCCTATGATTCCAAGGGTTACACACACACGCCTCCCCGAAGGGAGGCATGTTTTAAGCTCCGCGCCAAAAGGTGCGGATAAAGTAGTAGCAAGGCCAGGAACCTCTAGTAGCGTCAAGGTAGCGACCTAGCACCTAGTAGGAAGGCCAGGAGCCCGTAGTAGCAACCCAAGCTAAGGTCCCGACAGGAGGGAGGGGTAGGGAGAGACGAGAAAAAGGAAAGAGGAGGAAGGAAGGTGTTCCCAGCTACGACGCAAGCGTCCAAGGACACACCAAAAGAAGAGCGGAGAAGGGTTCCCAGCTATGACAAAAGCATCCAGGGACACCCAACGAGGAAGGAAGGTGGAGAGGAAAGAGAGAAAGAAAGAAAGAAAGGGAGAGAAAGGGAGAGGAGAAAAAAGGAAAAGGCAGGTGTTCCCAGCTACGAACAATCGTCCAGGGACACACCAAAGAAAGAAAGGGGTGATCCTGAGTCTTCCATTCAGGAAAACCCCAAAAAGCAAGGAAAGAAAGGGGAGGGAAGGGGAAGCAGGGGGACTAAGCTCGCAACAGGTTCCAATGAACCTTGAACAGACTTCGGTCGCTGCGACCACGTACGGCTTGCCCAGGGGCTGCCACCTTTGACCGCTACGGTCACGTAAAGGCATAAGCCAGCTTGGAATTCCTAAGATGTTGGAGTTCTGGTGGCATGAGCCAGCTACTGTCCGCTGCGGACACGTACATCTCCGGGCAGGGGAGATAACGACGTACACCTGTTCGACGGGTCCACGGGAGGCACTCTGCGGGCTCATCCCGGGTTGGCACGAGGCCAAACACACTTAGGATAGGGTGTACTGAACTGAAAGCGGCGCCACACGCCGGCCTAGGGTTCCATTTCCTAAGAGTACATGTACGAACCACGGGATCCTGGGGGTCTTCAAGAGGAAGTAGGGCCCAAAAGCAAAAAAAAACGAACGGCGGACGAACAGGCTGACGACGTTCCGCTCGCATCTGCAGCGCAAAGAAAAAACAACAAAACATCAGAGCATCGAGGTTCTTGGCTTAGCCTCTTGCCATACGCAAAGTGGAAAATTGCAGGTACGTTCGGATGATCAGTCCGAATATCCCACTCTGTGACCTAGCTTCGTTGAACTGGGTCAGTCACAGAGTGCCCAGTTCCCCTGCAGTGAAACAACATCCAAAAGGATCCCTATGATTCCAAGGGTTACACACACACGGACATAGATACACACATAGACACTCTGACATTGGTTTGCTGTTAACTCAATTCCCACGTTGAGAAGGAAGGTGAGGGAAACGCAAGGTGAAAAGGTCAGCGCACTTGTATTGTTTGAACAAACTGTTGACATGTCTGCGGTGGCGAACGTCAGCGCGACTCAGCTGCATGAGAAAGCGGCAAAAGGTTTGGGGGAAGGTATCATGAACCACCATGAAAACAAAAAGGAAAATTGGACAGCTTGTTCAAAAGTTCAGCAGGTACACAGGGATGATCAGTCCCTGCTTCCCCTTCTTGTCCACAGCTTCGTTGCGTGTGGTAGGACAAGAAGCCCACACGCCCCTGCTTCGAAACATCGGAACCCTTAGGTACAGGGGTTGACACACACACACACACAGTGCCGCTTTGCGGCGCTCGTGGGAACGACCTGAATAGGCACCTAAAAAGCCTTAGAAACAAAAGAAAGAAACACAGAAAGAGCAGCGCTAAGAGGGCAAGAGAGAAAGATAGGTGTAGAAAAAAGGTGAATACTTAGCCCTTGACTGGGGCAGGGAAACGAGCCTCAAGAACAACCTAAGAAGCCTGAGAGAAAGCCCAAGAAACGACCGAAAGCGTAAGACAGAAAGGGGGGGGCAGGGAGGGGGTGTATGTAGCATGTGTGTGTCCATGTGTGTGTATGACTACTTACTACTTAGCACTCTAGAGTTACTGACTACTTAGCCGAGGCGAGTTAAATGCAATAGTTAGGGAGCGGGGCTTTAGTCTTAGACCGCCCGGGTAGAGAAGACTAGAACAGGAACAACAAAGGGAAAGGCACCGACACACAAGTGTGTCGAGTACCATTTCCCTGTGTTGCCCTAAGTAGGTGGGGAGTAGAACTCGGCGGGGGGGGGGTTGGGGAACACGCCTGACCTCAAGTAGAATGCCGTTTTTTAGCCCGGCGGCTATGGTTGTTCACCGTGAAAGCCCGGCGGCTCTTTGTTCAGACAATTCAGTAGTGAAACAAAGTCGGTTAAGAAAAATCCAACGAGTGGTGGAAACGAAGAATCAGTAACACAAATTCCGGAATGATTGCAGGGCCTCCTTGCGGAGGATCACACCCAGCACCCAAGTGGGACGGCTGAGCGGTTCACACCCTGACATTGGTTTCCTGTTAACTCAATTCCCACGTTGAGAAGGGAGGTGAGGGAAACGCAAGGTGAAAAGGTCAGCGCACTTGTATTGTTTGAACAAACTGTTGACATGTCTGCGGTGGCGAACGTCAGCGCGACTCAGCTGCATGAGAAAGCGGCAAAAGGTTTGGGGGGAAGGTATCATGAACCACCATGAAAACAAAAAGGAAAATTGGACAGCTTGTTCAAAAGTTCAGCAGGTACACAGGGATGATCAGTCCCTGCTTCCCCTTCTTGTCCACAGCTTCGTTGCGTGTGGTAGGACAAGAAGGCCACACGCCCCTGCTTCGAAACAGCGGAACCCTTAGGTACAGGGGTTGACACACACACACACACAGAGAGACCCACACACTTACTCAACACACTAGACTTAACACTTCACACTTAACATTTAAAATTACACCGGCAAGGGACCCCAAATAGTGTAAAGAGGAACAGATGGAACAGGGGCCAACAACTTCCAAAACGGCAAGTTCATTGAAATTCAAAACCCTTCAAGAACATCTGCACATCGAGATTCACGAGCACAAATGAGAGCACACATATGAGAGCATATGGGAGCACATATGAGAGCGCATGAGAGCACACATCTGAGAGCGCAAATGTGAGAGCACATACAAGCACAAATCTGAGAGCACATAGGCGAGTACATAGGAGCATTTCGAAGTTCACAATGTACCGCGCCTGCCACGAAATCTGCGCATCGAGGTTCACAAAGTACTGCGCCTGCCACGAAATCTGCACATTGAGATTCACAAAAAGTGCTGTGCCTGCTACGAAATCTGCACATTGAGATTCACAAAGCGCTGCACCTGCCACGAAATCTGCGCTTCCAGACTCAGCAAGTGCTGCGCCTGCCACGAAATCTGCACTTCCAGACTCAGCAAGCGCTGCGCCTGCCACGAAATCTGCGCATCGAGATTCACAAAGTACTGCACCTGCCACGAACTCTGCACATCTAGATTCACACAGTGCTGCGCCTGCCACGCAATCTGCACATCGAGATTCACAAAGTGCTGCGCCTGCCACGAACTCTGCACATCGAGATTCACAAAGTGCTGCGTCTGCCACGAAATCTGCACATCGAGATTCACAAAGTGCTGCGCCTGTGGCAAAGTGCTGCGCCTGCCACGCAATCTGCACATCGAGATTCACAAAGTGCTGCGCCTGCCACGAAATCTGCGCATCGAGATTCACAAAGTGCTGCGCCTGCCACGAACTCTGCACATCGGAGATCCAAAATGAGCAAATTGCACGAGGCTGAAATGCGTTTCAGAAATGCTGCGCCTGTCACGAAATCATGCCTGCAGGTCATACGAAATGCTGCACTGAGCACGCAAAATCATCCTCAAGGTCAAAGTCCAAAAATGCGACCCCTCTCACGAATGCAGCCGTTTCACCTCAAAATGTCGCATCCATGGTGCGGATTCCCTGCGCCTGCCACGTGAAACGCAGTCCTGCGAATGACACACGCCTGCCAACGTTTTTGCAACGTCCACAAAACACTGCGCCTGCCACGAAATTTGCAAAGTCTCCGATTCCTTGCACCTGCCACGTAAAATGACCTTTTCGAGGCTCCAATGTGTCGAATTCCTTGCGCCTGCCACGCGAAATTCACTTCAGGTCCGAAAACGAGCACGGCACCTGCACGAGAGCTTTGTCCCGGAAGCGCGAAAACCGCGCCACCCACTTTATGCGAGCCTGCGCAGTCGAAATGGACATGAGGAATTCAAAAAGTAACTTTTGTGCGAGCCGGCCCACGCAAAATGCCAGGGCCACACGCGCGAACCCTGATCTAAACCCGCTTGATTCTTACCGTAATAAGAACCCCTTAGTGCGGAGCACTATTTGGGGAACTCAACACACAACTCACATTCTAACTTCACACGTGGTGAAAAATGCTTTCGGGCCACTCGTCGTCTAGTCTTTTTGTCGGCTCAGACCTTTTTGCGTCATGTTGCATTGGCTGGTGATTCCGAGGTCTCAAAGTTCATGGGCGCCTGGGATAGGACTTGTGCCGATGGCGGGACTTTGGAAGGTCTTTCTATTAGTAGTAGCGATGCCCTTTGCTACTAGTAAACTTGTTAGTAGTTTGGCCTGGAGCTACTAGTAGCGTCCTTGCTCCTAGTAGCGATGCCCTTTGTTCTTAGTAGCGTCCTTTGTTTCTCTTTGCATTTTCCATTTGTGGACCCTTCGTGTTTATCCCCTTTCTTGTTTTTGTGGAAAGAATTGTTTGTCTCTATTTTGTTCCTTGACACGTGTGAGTTTTGCGATGAAGGGGACATACTGCGGAAGACCTGGAACCTGAAAGACCGTCCAACTGCAGTCTGCCCCTTGTGACGATCGGACCTTGGAAAGCTACTAGGAGCAAGGACGCTACTAGGGGCTCCTGGCATCGCTACTAGGAGCATTCTTACTAAACTACCAGTAGCTCCTGGCCTCACTACTAGGAACAAGAAGCTATTAGGGGCTCCTGGCCTTACTACTAGGAGCAAAGGGCATCGCTACTAGGAGCAAGAAGCTACTAGGACGCCACGCACCTCCAGAGAGGCGACAAGTCCTAATCCCCATTGTAGACACTTCATGCGTGTGGCCATCACTACTAGTGACTAGTGATTCCGAATGGTTTTACTTCATTCGGTCTATCAACTCCAATTGCCGCCTGTCCGAGCTGAGGGGTTGTTGTCATTCTGCTCATCGTTCTGCCGGCCTGGCGCAGGTGAGAACTTAAGCAGTTTCCCTGTGAAATATCAGCCAGATGTTGAACAGTTTCAGTTTTCCATTCTATGTGATTATGGTTTCAAAGAGATGATGTGGTTGAAGGCCACCGCTATTAGGTTGGAGGCCATTGCTCTTAGTAGGTTGGAGGCCATCGCTATTAGATACAAAGATGAAAAGCACAAATGTATAATATAATTTGCTCTTTGGTTGGAGGCCATTCCTAGCAGGTTGGAGTCCATCGCTAGTAGGTTGGAGGCCATCGCTAGTAGGTTGGAGGCCATGACTAGTAGGTTGGAGAGCATCATCGCTAGTAGTAGGTTGGAGGCCATCGCTAGTAGGGCCATTGGTAGTAGGCTGGAGAGCATCGCTAGTAGGTTGGAGGCCATCGCTAGTAGGCTGGAGAGCATCGCTAGTAGGTTGGAGGCCATCGCTAGTAGGCTGGAGAGCATCGCTAGTAACGTAGGTTGGAGAGCGTCGCTAGTAGGTTGGAGAGCATAACTAGTAGGTTGGAGGCCATCGCTAGTAGGTTGGAGGCTGGAGAGCATCGCTAGTAGGTTGGTTGCATCGCTAGTAGGTTAGAGAGCATCGCTAGTAGGTTGGAGGCCATGACTAGTAGGTTGGAGAGCATCGCTAGTAGGCTGGAGAGCATCGCTAGTAGGTTGGAGGTCATAGTGGCTACTCTTTGCAAGAAATCATTATATTTAGCACTTCGGGCCCTTTGGGCGCTTTGGGCCCCTCAACCCCTCAAGAACGAGGCCACAAGACGCAGACGGCAGAAGAAGAAAGATAATAAGAAACGATATAACAAAAGGAACACAGAACTTTAGACACCAGAGAACACTTTCAGACACAATTTTCCTCACTTGTTTGTTTTGCTTTCGCAGGTATGTGCTCCACACTGTCTTCCGGCTGCTAAAGCACCAGAGGGACCAACGTGCAGCGCAGAAGTTGGCAGACAAGCTGCAACGCTTGGACCCAAAGCTTCAAGAGGACCAGCTTCGGATGGCGTTCACATGTGGAGAATGTTATCGAAGAAAAAGAAAAAGGACAGGTGCACAATTGATGAACAAAGGTTGGAAGAACATACAATTTGAATTCTGCCTCAACTTTCACAATCGATCCTGTGTGTTTTTTTGTTTGAACAAGATGTAACATGTATTTATCAACTACTTTATAGAGACACTGACTCTATTTTCCATCATTTTTCTCTCGTTCTTTAGTTAGACCTTTGACCTGTGTTTCGGTGTTCCTTCTTATTTTTGAACGTATATTCAACCCTTTACAGTATGACGCAGTCTTCTATTCATCCTTCCTTGTGTTGAGGATGGCAGGGATATATTTTGTTCTTTGAATATCATTTTTCCTGTTCATAGCCACAACGCATCTCTTCGAATTGGAGAACATCAAATCATATATGTTGAACAAACCACATCAAACCATTTTCTGTAGGAAGAAATGCTTTTGTTCGATGGTTCCATGTTCTTTTGTTCTTTTGTCAGATTCCGCAGTCCCTCCAACCGTTCATGGCTGACACGCACAAATCGAATGTACCAACGCATTTAGGCCCGAGTGTGATAAAAGCATCGCTTTTGCTTCGCATGGTAGCGGAGCCCTGGTCGTAAGAACCGGGCTCTGCTACCCACGTTTTGCACCACGACTCTTCGCCGCCATAGGCGCCAAGGAGCTTCCTCCACCGGATTCTGGCTCACCGAGCTCTTGCTCCTAGCTTGCATTGCAGGTGCAGCAGGAGACAACTGGATCCAAGAGGCGAACTACTATCTTCCTGGCACGGTGGTCCCTCTGTCCGGCAGGAGGAGCTTGCGGCGATACCACACGGTCGTGGTGGCCAGTGACAATTACGTGGGTAGGTTGATCTGGGCCCGAAGCGAGAAAAGTGTGAAGGCCTCGCTGACCTTGCAGGAGCGAGGAAGAGGAAGAAACAAAGAAAAGAAGAGGAAAAGGCTGGTTGTGATCGTCCCAGCCAAGTGGAAGTTCATCGGAAGAGCAGAAAGGTTTCGAGACGAAACCACAGCTGAAGAGGCTTGTGAACTGCTGGCCAACTGGGATCTTGAGAGCCTGATTGGATATGCAGGACTTCGTCTTGACGAGGACGACAAGCCAGCAGCAAAGGTTGAGGAGAAGCTCTTTTGCCCCTACTTGCCCTACATCAGGGACATGGCGGAGGAAAGCCTACGACAGATTTCACAGGCTTTGGAACGACTGACTGTGCATCAGAGTGCAGCAGCTTGGTCAAGGCATGTCAAAACACCAGACATTTTCAAACCTGACACCCGAGATCAGGAATTGAAGCAATGGAATGACTGGAAGTTTGGCTTCATCAACTATGTGAAGAGCATTGAGCCGAACATGGCAGGTAGCATGAAGATGGTGGAGGACAACCTGAATGGCGACTTCACATTCGATGATATGACGGATGAAACAAAAGCCATGGCAGTGAGGCTGTATGCAGTGCTCACCTCGTACTTGAGGAACAGGCCGCTGAAGTTGGTGCGGCACATACGACATGAAAATGGATTTGAGGCATGGCAGCGACTGTTGAAGGAGATGCAACCTGCAACCCGTGCTCGAGCTTTGGCACTCTTGACTCAACTGTCACGAGTGCAGTTCGCAGAAGGGAAGACCATCTCAGAACAACTGCCACAGTACGAGACCATCATCACCGAGTACGAGAGGATCTCAGGCCATACATATGCAGATGATGCAAAGGTAGCATCAATCCTGCAGGCAGTGCCACCGCATTTGAGGGCTCACCTGCAGTTATGGATCAGTGACGAGACAACGTATGAGCAGGTGAAGAACAAAGTGATGGAGTTGGAGGCCCTGGCTACGCGGTGGGACAGCTCAAACAGCTTGAGCCTGCCGACGCGGATGAGCATGGATGAGGCGACCCCCATGGAAGTTGACTACATCCGTGGAGAGAAGGGCAAGAAAGGAGGAAAAGGGAAGAGCAAAGACCAGAAAGGCAAGACAAAAGGAAAGGAGAAAGGGAAAATGAAGACTGATGGCAAAGGATCGTGGAAGAGCAACGATACAGGAAGATCTCAATGGGAGAAAGGTGGTTTTGGCAAGAAGGGAAAATCGCCAGACAAAGGTGCAAAAGGCAAGGCCGGAGCCTGCCACAACTGTGGGAAACCAGGCCACTACGCCAAAGATTGCTGGGCACCTAAGCGAGCCCAGGCCGAGGTGAATCAAGTAGAAGAGCAATTGCCAGCTGGAGGAAATCCCGGTGGAGCAAGCTCATCAAGCCAAGGAGGACAGACCATCACCACATCCAGTGTGAAGATGGTTCGGTTGGAGACACCACCTGAATCGAGATCGCTGGAAATCTTTGACCTGACAACGCCTCGAGGATCAGAAGAGGCAGCAGTGCCACCGTGGCGAGTGGGCATGATCAGGTTTGAACTTGTTGAGGATGAGTTCAAAGAGGCACAAGAGGAATGGAAAGATGAGGAGAAGTTCATGGACTGCATCTCTGTTGTGGCCATGGATTTGCAGGACAGCAGCGATGAGAAGGTGGTGCAGATGGTGAGGAGGACAAGTGAAGAGGAGCACGCATCCTGTGTGGTGACATTGGACAGTGGCGCGGATGTGTCAGTGCTTCCAAAGTCCTACGCAGGTGTAGGAAGATGGTCAGAAGGTTCAAAGCAGTTGAAGATGGTGGATGCCCAAGAAGAAAGATAGAGCACAACGGCATCACAAAAGCTCGAGTTCGAACAGTGGACAGCAGCGGAAAACAGATTGAGCTGGTTGAGGAATTCGTGCTCGGAAATGTCCAGCATCCAATTCTTTGTGCTGGAAAGTTGTTGAGAAAGGGATGGAGCATCACCGGCGCAGGAGATGGCCTGAACCTAAGACATGAGGAAAAGCAGGTCTCGGTTCCAATCAGCAATGAGAGGAACTCGTTGCAGCTGGAGGCCCACATCTATGTGATTGACACTGAGGAGACCCAGAAGGAAAGTGGAAAGGAGGCGAGAGTAATGGCTTTGAGGGGAACTCCCAGCAAGCACATCCAGGACTTGGAGATGGCTCCAGGCTGGCATCGTCTCCCCAACGGCATTGTTGCTTATAGTGACCCCATTGCAACCACACTGGCCGATCCACGAGGACAAATTGAGGATAAATGGAAGGCCAGATTGACCTTGGTGAAGGACAACGACGGAATGTGGACGCAGCTTGAAAATGAGGAGAACTTCATGTCATTGGGAGAGACCGCATTCAGGAAGATTGGATTGGGAGGCCCAGTGAGAACAATCAGTTTCTTCGCCCCATCGAAGATGGAAGATTACTGGGAGCATGACTCTGAGGTGCCAAAGAAACCCTTCCCAGAGGAGAAATCAAGGGAGCCTGAAGGCAGGCTTGATTGGTCAGAGGACGACAGAGAAGGTGAGGATGCAGATGGACACCAGAGACATCGAGAAGATGGTGGTTGCAGACAGGCCAAATGAAGTAGAGCTGGATGAAGTAGTGTATACCGACAAAATGTCCGTCAAGGAGCTGCAGTTGGCATGCAAAGAAAGGAATCTCCCTTACAGCGGCAGCAAGAGAAGGTTGTTGGATAGGCTGTTGGCCTTCAGAATCAACCTTGAGAATCAGATGAAGCTCAGCATTGCCAATAAGCTGTTTGAGGAGCAACAGAGAAAACCATTGACCTTGGGACAGCCCAAATTGCCCTCAAGAAAGGACCAAGAGGCACACTTTGTGACGCATATCCCCTATGCCGCATGGTGCCAAGCATGCGTCGCCAGCCGGGCAAAAGAGGGCCACTATGTCTCTCGAGAGGTGAAGGAAGATTTGGGCAAGAATTTGATTCAGTTGGATTTCTGCTTCACCTATACAGGAGAAGAGAAGAGAATGGATGAGGCGCCACCTGACAAAGTGGCAGAACGCTCGGATCAGTATGGCACGTGTTTGGTGATGACGTCGTCTGAGACGAAAGCAGTCCACACAGTGCCTATCCCCTCGACCTCAAGACCATCGAAGAAGTGATCCGCTTCTCCCTCGAGAACAGTGGTCGAGACCAATGTATCTTCCAAGGTGACTCAGAACGCTCGATGCAACAGATTTTGAGGTCAGTGCAGCAAGTCCGTGCAGTGATGGGCCTGCAGTGTGAGATTCGGTTGACAGGCAGCGGACAGCATGCATCGAATGGCCAAGTTGAAAGGGCAGTCCAGACAATGAGGAAGTTGGCAAACTGCCTAAGGTCGTATGCAGAGGGACGAGCTTTCATCAAGATCATGCGGAACCTCCATATGTACCCCTGGTCATTCAGATATGCATCATTCCTGATCAACAGATTCAGAGTCCTCGAGAAGATCGGAAAGACAAGCTATGAGCTGGCCACTGGACATGTGTACCGAGGAAAACTGGCACTGTACGGAGAATCAGTAATGTTCAAAAGGATGACGAAGTACAAAGCCAGTGACACATTTGAGAGAGGCGTCTGGGTTGGAAAGCACAGTTGGAATGACACCCACATCATTTTGACGCCTGAAGGAGCCTTTGAAGCGAGGACAATTAGAAGGCTGCCAGTGGAGGAGAGCTTCATAGGAACAGACATGATCATTGCAAAAGGCCTACCATGGGCGTATTCACCACAAGGGATCATGATGAAGCATGGTGGTTCGGCGCAGAGATACAGGCAACCCACACTGGAGAACGAGGCCACTGAAGAGGAAATGAAGATGATCACAGAAGCAGTGGCAGCCGGGGTAGTGACACCTGCACCCGGACTGAAGCCGCAACCGACTACACCATGTCTTCCTCCAGTGACAGCCCCTATGACTCCAGCAATCGGTCGAGAAGCGCCAAAGAAGAGAAGCGCAGAAGGAGTTGAGGAAGAGCCAGAAGCAAAGAGGCATGACGACGAAGACTCTCCCCGACGAGCTCATGAAAAGAGAGACTCATTGCATGAGGAGGAACAAGAGCAAGATTCCCAGGCTCTATCCACCACATTATGCTGGAATCCAGGCCATAGAAGCCCATGGAGATGAAGAGGTGAACGATGAGCTGATCCCAGAAGACCTCTCTGAGGAGTTCTTTGCAGGATATGGAGGGAACGAAGACGATGAACCTCCAATCACATCAGAAGCTCACCTGGAGCGCCTTGATCATGAGGCTAGGTTGAATGAGGTGAGCAGGATGATCAAGATACCAGCTATGGTGGAGTGTGAGCCGGGAGAAGTTGAGAAAGAAGGAGGTTACATCATCTCCACGAAATTCGTTCTCACGTGGAAGCACAGGCTTGAACAAGGTAGATGGTTCCGCAGGGCAAGGCTGGTTGCCAGACAATTCAAAAGCAGCATCAACATTGAACAAACGTTTGCACCAACATCCATGTTAGTGGTGCCCAAGATGCTGATCCACCTACTGCTGAATGTCTGCCGCGAGTTCACGGCCATGACCCTCGACATAAAGGATGCTTTCCTCATGGCCGACCAGCCCAAGGAGGAGAAAGCCTATGTGGATGTGGATGGAGTGATCTACAGGTTGGTGAAGTGCCTCCCAGGCCAAAGGACGGCAGCATCCCAATGGTTTCAGCTGTTTGCAAAGACAGCAAAAGACTTCGGGTTGGAGCAAGATGTCATGCAGCCGACCTTGCTTATGAAGGTGAATGAGATCTACATCACAGTCCACGTCGACGATGTCTTCATGGTTGGAAGGGAAGAGAAGTTGAGGGCCTTCGTGAATCATCTCAAAGAGAAAATGAAATGGAGCATTGAGGAAAAGGGCCCATTCCGAAGCGGAGAAACCTTCCATTACCTGAAGCGTGAGTTCGTACTGTACAACAACTGGTGTGACATCAGATGTGACTATAAACAGTACGAGAGCTTGGCGAAAGACATGGACATCTACAAGAAAGCCTACAGGAAGACACCTACAAGCCAAGAGTTCAGCAAGAAGGACGAAAGTGAAGAGCTGCAAGGAGAAGACATCACGCGCTGCAGAAGCGTGGTTGGAAGGCTGATGTACTTGGCGGGCGAAAGGCCGGACGCCCAATTTGCCATCCAAAGTCTGGCAAAGTTCATGTCGAAGCCAACAAGACAGGCTTGGAAGAATGCCTGGCACGTTTGCTCATACCTCCAAGGAACACAAGGATTCGGAGTGAGATTGGCAGCACGAGGCAAAGGGCAAACGGTGATGGACATTAGAGATGCAGATGAGGTAGAGGACAGGGAGAGACACTTGCTGGAAGTGGTGTGCGACAGCGACTATGCTGGGAACCGAAACGATAGAAAGAGCACAACTTCATTCCAGGTCCTGCTGGACGGCAACTTGATGGAGTCGAGAGTGAGAAGCCAGAAAGCTATCTGTCAGGAGAAGCAGAGTTCGTGGCCATGGTCGGAGGATGCTCGGACGGCTTGTTGATCCGGCATCTATGGACGAAGATGTGCAATGAAGAGTGCGAGATGAAGGTCAGATCAGACAGCTCAGCAGCACGCTCCATGGTCCAACGTCAAGGAATTGGCAGAGTCAGGCACATGGATGCCGCATTGCTTTGGATCCAACAAAAGGAGAAGGATAAGATCCTTTCAGTGAGCCCAATACCAACAGAGCTGAACACAGCGGACATCGGCGCAAAAGGCCTGACAAGAAGCCGACTGTTTGGTTTGCTCTTCATGCTCAAGGTGATCGATGGAGCTGGAGACCGAGTTGGGCATGAGGAGTATAAAGAGATAGAGCACCGCGAGAGGATGAGGAAAGGAACACAGAAGGTGCTCAAGAACAAGAACCTCCATGTTGGCCTGATCTGGCTACTCTCGAATCTGGAGAGTGTAGCCGGGATGAAGACAGAAGAGGCCAATGATGAAGAGGGGGACAATTGGAAGTGGTTGTGGTTGGTGTGCGCAACCATTGGGGCCTTGAGCCTGGACATCGAGGATACCTTCAAGAAGATGAGCAGGGAGTTTGACAAGTACATGAGCGGAAGGAAAGAAACAAAAGATGGAGAGACTCAGTATGATGAATGGAGTGGTCTGCAAGCTGAGAATGAAGAGTTGCAGACGAAAGTGTTCCAGCTGGACTTGTACGCCGAAGAGCTGGAACAAACCATTCAGCAAACAAGAGAGCAAAGAGATATGGCTCTTGCAGAATGCCAACTGGCATTGAAGCACGGCGAAAAGATGATGAGGAGGAATTTGAAGTACAGAGTTTGCCAATATGGCAAGCGCCTCCATTTTCATGAAAGCTGCCCGCATTTTGCGAGAGCAGCGGAGGTGCAGATGTGCGCGGTCTGCCTAAACGGAGAGGGGGTGTCAGATTCCGCAGTCCCTCCAACCGTTCATGGCTGACACGCACAAATCGAATGTACCAACGCATTTAGGCCCGAGTGTGATAAAAGCATCGCTTTTGCTTCGCATCTTTCGTTCTTTCTTCCTTTTGTCCTTTCCTATCTGCGGTAAGGGCAGCTCTAGCATCCAGCCCCAAGTCCCGGTTCGCCGACAACGTTGCGGACGGCGGCATCAGGATGGCCTTTTGGACATGTCGGACAGTGAAGAATCGGCCCCGGATCCGGAACTCACCTGTTGATCCGGCGCATCGCATGCAGTGCCATGTGGTACAAAACAAATGTTCTCTTGTTTCTAATAGCTTCTTGTTACTACTAGCAAGGCCCTTGCTCCTAGTAGCGATGCACTTGTTCCTAGTAGCTGACATATGCACTAGATATGGAGATGTAATCGGTGAACGAGGAAGACAATTTGGAATAAAGAGCTTCAGACCATTTGTGACATGCCATGTTGTTTGTTTCGGTCATCCTGTAACGTTGACAGAGGACATGTTGCAAGAGCTGGGAGATGTTTAATATCCCTCTGGCGTTGTGCATTCGTCGAACTCAGTTGAGACGACGCCTGGAGCTTGTTTCTGGTTGGTCGTGCTGATCATGTTGCTGTCCAAAGCTTGTGATTGGTTGGATGATAATAGTGGCCGTTCTTCAATGAAGATGTGGCTGACCAACCTGTGCTCCGAGTGCCCCTGAAGCAATTGAACTTCTGGAGGAGTTGAGTTGTTGCTGTTGTCCCTACAGCAGGCAACCAAGCGTTTACCGTTCAACCATAGAGAAACAAACCTTGGCTGCCGTTTGTAGTGGAAATTGGGCCTGATTAGGCCTCACTTGATTCCCTCAATATGAGTCCAATTTGGTCACTGCGTAGATTTTCGATGAGCCGAAAACTTGCCCGCCACTTTTGCCTTGTCGTGATGTTGTGGTCAACCGCATTGCTACACATGCCTCACAGCTTTGGCACCTTTAGAATGTAGTTGAGGAAAGGTTACTAGTAGCAACTAGTAGCAGGGGCATCGCTACTAGTAACAAGGGCAATACTAGTAGTAGCAAGAAGCTACTAGAAGCTTCTAAGGGCATCACTATTAGTAACAAGGGCATCGCTACCGTTTTCTGCCGCTTAGAGTGTCTGAGGCCCTTTCGACCATCACCCGTGCCACATCGGAGGGAGAAAAAGCTGACGCGGACACATTTAGAAGCATTCGCAAACCATTTTTTGAAAAACCATTTTGGAAGCTATTATAGCAAATTATTCTTCTTAATAACGTGTTTTTATCTTTTTTAAGGGGGGGGGCAGGCCGCTAGAGGTAGCTAGTAGTAGCTAAGTAACTTAAGTAGCTACTACTCATGATTTGGTTCCTGGATTTTTAGGAAAACTTAAGGTTGGAGGCCATCGCCACGAGGGTGGAGGCAAATAGAAAAACAACAACTAGGAGCAAGGACGCTACTAGGGGCTCCTGGCCATACTACTAGGAGCATTCTTACTACTAGGAACAAGAAGCTACTAGGGGCTCCTGGCATTTGTCCAGGAACACCCAAGAGCATCCGAGCCAGCAGTGGACCACCGCTTGGACCACCCTGGCAACAAAAGCCTCCAAGCTCCCTGTCCCAGCCGTGGTACGGTATGTATCATGGAGGCTCACCGGCGAACCTCATGCCCCAAAAAGTCCTCGCTTTTCAAACCCTTTTGGTGGCCATTCCTGGTTGCACCCAGCTCATCCCTCCAGATGCCGGACCAAATTCCTCTCACCTCCGTCCACCGACGGTCCAGGGTGAGAAGACCAACACCGTTTGCGGAACCTCCGTGGGTAAGCCTGGTGAAAACGAGAGAGATCAGTGGAAGGGTCTCAAAATAGCAGCATTACCTTTGCCATCGCTCTTAGAAACAAAGACAAATGTTAAGAGATGGAGTCCTGCCAACCGCTGAGGGTGGCCAAAATACTATGTTTAGTGATTTCGGAGTAGGAGTTGGAGCAAACGAAAAAGCAATCGCAGAGTGCAGGATAGGGGACAAGTCAAAAAACAGTGAGCAGAAAGGTGAACAGAAAGCGATCCAAAGGTGATGTGATTGAAATATGTGGATACCAAAAGCAAGAAGAAAGCAACAAAAAAGGTGACCAAAATGTGATCAAAAAAGCAATCCAGAATCGAAACCTAATATATAAACGTCACGTGTCGTTTCGGGAGCCGTTTCACAATATGTCAGTCAGTATGCTTACTATTTTCTCACTATTTTCTTGCTATTTGCTCACTATGTCTCCGCAATCACTTTTTGATTGCTTTTTTCCACATGTTGCACGAACACCCCAACCTATGTTGACTATTTTCTTGCTGAGTTCCTTACTCAGGACCTCGCAAAAAGTAAATCTACATTTCCAGTGGTTGCCTGTCGTCGCAAGTCTTAAGACAAATGATAAGGAAGAAAAATCTAACTGGATTTCTCGGTTGTAAACTGGAGCCAAACACCTTTTGAACGGGAACGGCAAGATGACACTGCAGGGTTGTGCATGTGATGAACACAGGTGTTGTCGTTTTGACCAATTGAGGTCATGAAGGGTTTCTGATGCTTTGTTCCTGCATCCTCTTTTTCGCCCGCCTGAAGCGTGCCCAGGAATACATGGCTCCCGAAATCATCAAGAAGGAATCCTATGGCCTCATGGTCGACTGGTCGGGGCATACAGATGTGCTTCCTGCATTTAGATGTGTTTTGGGGTCCATGGCGTTTTGCGCTGTTTTCTGTAAAACTAGCAAAGGAAAGAAACAAGAAAGCTTCAAAGGTCAAAAGAAATTCTGGTCGATGTCTTCCAGGCTCCTAGATGGCTTCTTCTTCGTCGTTGTCTTCTTCTTTCTGCACTTAAGTTTCCAAAAACATGTAGGAACCAAATCATTGAGGCGAGCGCTTCCTTAAAGAAGCGTGAGCTATCCTGCGTCCTGTTCCTAGAAGCGTCCTTGCTCGGAGTAGTAAGGCCAGGAGCCCCTAGTAGCGTCCTTGCTCCTAGTAGCTACTTAGTAGCTTCCTCTTCGGTCCTCCCGTTTTCCTCATTTTTTTCCATGCTCGGTGAGGTGGTCCTTTGGCGTGCTCACGTATGAGATGCTCGTTGGGCGCTCACCCTTCAACGACCCAGATGCCAGGGCCTCGGGGCCACGAAAGGAGATGACAGGGAGAACAATGAGAAAAAGCAATGAGAAGATTTGACGAATGGCGATGGCCTCCAACCCAAGAAGAGCGATGGCCTCCAACCTACAATGAGAGAAAGAAGAAGAAAAGAAGAATTGAACTCTAGACGAGGGGTTTCTCTGGATAGTAAAGAGTGGTTACATCCAAAAGGCGTAGGGGCAAGGTGTATGGGGTTAGTAAGTCCTGCTTTGGGAATCCAGACAGACATCAAAGAAAGGCATGCCTCCTTTTGTGACGACTGAGATGGGTTCAGATATGAAACATGAATTACGACCTCAAACTACCTTAGCTGTCATATCAATCTGTGGCACTCCAAAAACCGTCAGCATCCAGAATCAGGGCCAACACCTGAGAAATTGAAACATTCACGGTTGAATTCACAAGTGCATAGGTCATAAGCCACCCTGGAAGTTTGAACAATGTCGTCATGCTGCATGAACATAAAGACCCAGCCTGACCCCCTGGCCCTGCGTACCACCCCGAGACAAATTTTTGACACTGACGACTGAAACAAACAAGCTGCGTCGTCCGCAGAAAAGGAAAAGTAGGAAAACAGATAGAAGGAATACGCTGAAAGCTCTTGTACCGAGAGAATTAACAATGCCTTTTTCTTGCTACTAGGGGCTCCTGGCCATACTACTGGCAAGAAGCTACTAGAAGCAAAGGGCATCGCTACGAACAGAGCAAGGACGCTACTACGAACAAGTGCATCGCTACTAGTAACAAGTGCCTTACTACTAGGAGCAAGGACGCTCTTATATTTTCTTTTGACGTTCGCAGGAGAACCAGGTCTTGGCCTTGGCGCTCTCGGGCCGCGTGAGTTATCCGGTGGCCCGGGGCCTGGGTCGACATCCGATGCCGTGACAAGCGATGCCAGGAGCCCCTAGTAGCTTCTTGTTACTACTAGTAAGGCACTTGTTACTACTAGCGTGGCACTTGTTCCTAGTAGCTTCTTGTTACTAGTAATGCCAGCAGCTACTAGTAGCTTCTTGCTCCTAGTATGCCCTTTGTTCCTAGTAAGTAGCTTTTTGAAAAAGAGAAAGAGAAATATTCTATTTCGGATGCAAAGATGAAGGCCTCTTTTACAAAGAAGAGATCTATTTCACAAGTTGATCTCACGTGTTCTCTTGTTTCCAAACGGAATGGTAGAATCTATTTGGCTCGTTCTTGTGAGGAGTCAGAGTCAGGAAGGTATCAATTCAGCTATAGTTATATAGTCAAGTTCGGATTCCAATGGAACAGCCGACCTTCCTGCCGTCACCCAGTTCTTCTCGAAGCAGTCCAAAGATTTTGTGGGTAGGCCACGACGGGTTGATCGGCTCCGAGTGGGTGGACGCCAAACACATGGCTTTGTCAGTCGGATGTGGTCCGGGTCAGTGGTAGCGGTAGGACTTTAGGGCAGTACGGTTCTTCGGTTCTTCACACGCAATTACGGTCTAATATAGTTTGCTAGGATGGAGGCCATCGCTGACAGTAACAAGGGCATGGCTAGTAGTAACAAAGGGCATGAGTACTAGGAGCAAATAGCTACTAGTAACAAGAAGCTACTAGGAACAAAGGGCATCGCTACTCGGAGCAAGAACGCTAGTAGGTGAGCTCCTGGCCATGACATGTGTGGAGGCTGTTGACAAAGAGCCCCACACGGCGATTGGGCGCTCCGGAGATCTCAGCCCTGAGCTCCCAGCTGGTGGCGGTTTGTTCGTTCTTATGGGCAGGTTGCTTCTAGTAGCTTCTTGTTACTACTAGTAAGGCACTTGTTACTACTAGCGTGGCACTTGTTCCTAGTAGCTTCTTGTTACTACTAGTAAGGCCCTTGCTCCTAGTAGCGATGCTTCTTGTGCTCCGGAAAACTCCGAGGCTTTTAGGTCTTTCTTGGAGCTTTCCCTTTCGTTTCAATCATAGTTGCTTTGGTAACAGACCTGTGCCTCTCAGAAACACAACGTTCAAGTACGAGATAGAACTAGGAGTCTCATATCAGTCCACTTCAGCCCGAACCCACCCCATGCTGCTGTTTGTCTTGCAAAGTGACAGTAGAAACTCGGTGAATTCGTTGCACTCGGCTCAAAACAGGTGGAAGTGTGACTGGGTTTTGCAGGTTGGTCACGAAGCGAGGTCACCGGCTCAAATTTGCATCATAGTTAGTGAAGCTACAGCTACATGCATCCTTGAACTGCCTTCTAAAACGGTGAAGCTCAATTGTAGACACGTTAGAACAGCTACGGTAGCATGGCATGACATGGCATCAAACAAGATGTAAAGACTTGGAGCAACTACAAGTTTGTTGTTCATTTGAGATCGTTTGGACGCAAGACGCGCTCAGTGCCGTCCTTAGCTGAGCCCAACAGTCTGGTGTAGACCACCTATTCTTCGAGCTAGCTTTGCAATGGTAGACAACCACCACTCAACCACTAAACCTTGAGCTCTGGATTTGAATTTAGGATCTAAAGCAATTGACATTGACAACTCATCAAGATCTTTTCACAATTTAAGTAGTTGAAAGCCAGACTGCACAGCTCTGACCAAGGACGTTGAAGCCATGCGCCCAACCCCTAGGCGTTTGCCCAGGAGGCCAAGGGAGGTTTGTAGTCAATGATAAACCTGATAAGCTGATGGTTTTTACATGTTCTTACATTACGTTGGCACTTGGTCGCTAAACTGCCAGACAAATATGATGTGTGAGGAAAGGAACACATTGCGATGCTGTGTTTCACCAAAGGTGGTCACCTTGTGCTTTTTCTTTTTCTTTGTCGGTTTTCAATGCACATCCGCTTTGACTCTCCAGGCTCCCCTTGCCGCGGCTCCGATCGAAGGCGGAAGAAACAAAGGAGTGCTTTTTGGTGAAAGGAATCAAGAAAAAGGCGTCTCTAAAGGGAAGAAAACGAAGAGAGAGATAAGAGAAAAAGAACATGGATGGCCTTGGGCCCCTCGAGCTCCTTCTTTTCATTTTTCTCCTAAAAAGAAGGAACCAAATTAGTACGTTGCTTTCTTTCAAGCCTTGTCCTTGCAACATTGCCAAGTCGTTGGTGTAAGATGCCAATGACCCTTCTCTTCACATACCCTCGCAAGGTGGCCACAGCTGCCTCCAGGCAGAGGGGAAGTGAAAGGACCCTAAACTGTAATTCCACCAGTTTTGGATGTTCTTGTGTCTTGTGAGTCCTTGTGAGTCCTTGTGACCCTTTGCTCCTAGTAGCGCCCGCTGCTCCTATCCTTGTTTTTTTGATCCGTCTTTTGTGGATTTGCCGATCCGCGTTGGTCGATCTTTGGTCAGGCCCTCGCAGGGTCGCTCTGAGGACGAGGAGTTGCCGCGTCGGATGGGCCATACGGTACCAGGTTGGGTGAGAAATGTGTTCGATTTTCCTTTTTATCTTTCACTAGAAGCCTTTTTGAGGGCTCAAAAGTAAGCTTTTCAGCTAGCTTAGTGCCCCAGAGTGCCTTGTGCACTCGACCGCTGCGGGACTTGCGCCGCGCCATTGGGAACAAGCAGAGGTTTGTGGGGGAGCTGCTTTTCTTTCTGGCTAGGGTTGCAAGGACGCCTAACAGTCCAACGTGGCACCGCAAAGCTCGCAAGCAACGACAGCGAGCGAGGCAAGTGCTGCGGAAGGCAAAGGACAGAGGGACCCACAACCTCACACACGGTTTTGCATTGAAGGTGGCAAGATCTTTGGCCTTTCTTCGAAAGCATCATACGTGGCCCTGCTTCAGCGCGCATCCTATGGGTGGCTGGTCTGGCGGGGGTAAAGGAAAGAAGTCATGGTGGAGTCAGTGGCAACAACAGCCACCTCAAGGAGGCCCCAAAAAGAAGGCGGACAAGAAGAAGCAGGAAAAGCCAGAGCAAGGCAAAAGCGCAGGAGATTTGTTTCCAGCGTACGAATCCTTGCAAGCCTCGTCCTCGTCTACATCAGCAAAGGACAATTCCTCCAACGAGGTTGCAACGCTGAAGAAAGAGATGAGGCAGTTCCTGGAAGAACGATCGATCATGATCGATTCGCAGATGTCCGAGCTGTTGCAGACTGGGGATCCTATGGAAGATGTGAGGCAAGAACAAAAAGTCCTCAATCTCAAGAAAAAGCTCCTCTCGAAGATGGACAAGCTTCGAGCAAAGCATCAAGAGAAACAGGACGCATGGAGCAAATTCCTCGACCTGTTAGAGGAGCACCGGAAGAAAGAGAAGGTCAAGCACAACGAAGATCTCCGAGTCCTGAACGAAGCCATGGCGGAGACGCAGAAAGAGATCAACCAGATTGTGCTCAAGGAGTCGACGGCAGATGGCGACGCTGGGATGACGGCAGAGGAGAGAGAGAAGCATCTCCTCCGACTACAACTAGCGAAGTCCAATGCAATCATACAAGACCTTCAGAGCAGAGTGGACTCTTATGTGGCAAGGATTCCAAAGGAAAATCCGGCCTTCAACGAGAATTCACCGCAGATGATCAAGGAGCCAACTATGGTCTTGCCGGGCGAAGAGAGCTTGGAGGCGGCTGCTGCGGCAAGGGCTGCCAGGGCAAAGTTGTTCCAGCGCGCAAATGCAACGCTACTCGAAGCCCCGGTACCTATCCGTTCGAGGAGCACCAGCAGGAGCCCGAGAAGGGATGCATCCAATTCGCTGGAAAGACTGGACAAATGAGGAGGCCCGAATTCTCTGTCAAGACAAGCCGACTTTTTGGGGTAGCTTGCAGAGTGGGATTTTGCAGTGGCTACTGCACTTGTGACTTCGTTAGTTACAAGCAATCCGAGTATAAGTCCGACCAAACTCAGACAGGTGGCGCCAAGTTGAAGGCGACAAGTGAAGATGGTTGGATGTCTCTCCAAAACGATACTAGTAATTGGGCTCATTCTGCTAAGGGTACAGAGAACAGCCATTTGTTTGCGTTCGACCAAGGCAGGATAGATCTCGAGAATTGTCCAAATTTTGTCTCGGATCAAGCATGTCCTATAGGCAGTCCTATGGTAGGGTTCAGTGATTGCGTACATGACCGGGATAATGCCAGTGACGGTGAGGGGAAGTTTTTTGACTTTCTCGTGCAATATGAGACTTCCCGAATACAGTTTATAGGAGTGAGCATGGTTTTTCTGCTTTCACTCGCTGACGCATTCAGGCGAACATGCTTGATAGCTTATACATACCTTCATGCTTGTCCTTTAAGAGGCTCGAACAGAAGGAATAAATTCAGTTACTGGACGGCGGCTAGCTTTGTCTTGCTTGCGACGATCCAGTTAGTCGTGTGCCAAATTGCAGTCGTTGGTGGTGTGCATATCCGCCCAGACTACCTGTCAACAATCATCCAACTTCAAGCTGTTTTCCTGTCCGCTGTTTTATATAGTGGCTGTGGTGGCACTTGGAGGGATGATGTTATAGGTCCATGCAGAAGGCTCAGTCATTTCCGCAAGTCTGCAGTACGATCTAGGAGAGCCCCATTCCGATTGAAAGCTTTGATTCTCTGTCTCAATGTTCTCACTTCGCACGCTACTCATGTTTTCCACTCGTGTGAACAGGACGCTCCTATGAGGTGGGGCACAGTGTCAGATAATTCGGAAGAGGGAAAAGAGAATGTTGCCAATGAAAATGGCAGCCCTGCTTCGACTAAGGAAGATCTGATGAGTCTCGTTAGCAAAAGTGTCGATGAGCCTGACACTAAGGACAGACTGAGGTATGCCGAGACACACAGGGAGCTTCGTTGTCACGCAGGCATGGATGGGCCGGCCCTACCAGAGGCTGCCCTCCAACCCAGAAACTCGTGTCTCCTTTCCTGGCCTTGCGAAGGAGCATGTAGGCCACCATCTCATACCAGAGAGCTAGAAGGCCAAGGTCATTTGTCTTCCCCAAGCGATGTTGGCATGCCGAACATAGGCAGTGACCACCACGAGATGCAAAGGGGAGCTAGGCCGGCATTTTTGGGCGATTTTGATTTCGGTACTAGAACACAAGCTTCTTTTGATATCGAAAACAGCCAAAGCGATTCGGTAAGCAGAGATCAGGCAAGCAGACTTGCATTTCGGGAGCAGCCCATTCTAGTCAAAGTCTGGTTCGCTCCCTCAGGAAGATGCAATGAGAGAGCAATCGACACAATGATTCCCAAAGAAGAATTAGGCAGCATAGGGGATGCTGTCTGTAGAATCTGGGAAGACTTGCTATCTTTTGATTCCTGCTCATTCCGGATTGTTTGGCCTCAGCCTGCTGAACATACTTTTCAAGAGTTATGGCATTTCGTTGTGTACGAAGGACAGGGCCCTACGGCTGTGTTGCTTCAGAACACCTTCGGAATTGATGAAGAAACACGACATACAGAGTTTTGCGCGTGTGCTCTCGATAGGAGAAATGCACTGCGCACTCGTCAAGAGAGTCTTTCCAATCGTATATGGACAAATGGAGACCTTGTCCGAACCAGGGACACAGGAGACCGTGGCCTTTGCCATTTGCATCCTGGTCACAACTGGAAGCGTTCTTCCGGGGGCAACACTGCAACCCCACTACAGCTGCATCAAGCGGAAGAAGGCGAGGAGGCATTTCTTATGCAAGCTGATTACCTACAAGCTCTTCAAGCGTCCACGATTAGAGCAATGAGGTTTGCACATGCCGTGCATCATCAGACTTCCATCTATGCAACTGCCAACTATGCAACGCAGAACTTCGTTAAGAAAGATGGGTTGCGTGGCTGGATTCAACGCGAGCTTGCAAGGGATGGAGATACCATTACACTTGCTGTATGGAGAATCAGTCATCTGGTCCATGTTGCTCGTGAATGCCAAAGAATACTGCTGGAAGGAACCAACTGGGCCAGAACCTTCCGCCAGTTCTGGCGCATTGACGACGAGTCGAAGACACCGGTGTTAGCAGCTGTTGAACCACAACCACCCACAATTAGCGGTGGACGACTGGATCAGCTACACGTCATTGCTGCGGAGAACCGATTCGTCCAGCCAGATCAAACAGCCCATCTCTTCGACATCTGGAAAGCCGACACGCCTATTCAAGGGACAGGAAGAGAATTCCTAGCCAGGCGAGCGGCAATTATCAGACGCACAAATACGGTAGCTGAGATTGCGGAACTATTGGGCTATGTCAGCAGCAGGGCTGACATGCAGCTTTATGCGGCTTACTCTGACAAGGATAGCGGCGAGGGAATGATTTTCCGCAGGTATCAGCGGATAGAAGTCCCTGATTTCTCCTACATTGATATTGTCTTTGTCGGGGCAACTGAATGCCAAGATCCAGCTCAACAAGGGGAGACGGGCACGACAGCCGTCGATACAGATTCTGGTTTCGACCGATTGATGAGGCCAATTGGGGAAAACACTGCAACCCCACCAGAGCCGGAACAAGATGTGCATTCCTTGGTGCAACAGTCACAGCCCTATAGAACTGCAGCGCAAGTGGAAGCAGACAAATGTTTCCAGCCGATTCTTGACCCCATTCGACCATATGTGGGTCAGGAATCATCATGGAGATTATGGAATCACTTTGTGCGCGATAGGGTCTGGACCCACCCAGGACTGGATGAAATGTCAGCTTGGTTTCTTGTCGAAGCAAATTTTGTTCAGTCGATACCAATTACCCTTTTCACTTCGCGCCGTGGCAGTGCATCTTGGAATGACCCTCTTGCACTCTGGGAAAGCCTGGGCGGACAACAGGATCCGGAGGTTCTGATGGTTTTCCCTAGGCCTACCAAGGGAAGCCTTCCAGAGGACCATCTCATCTTCGTCCCTGCCGAAGCCCATGAGAGGGAACAAAGGGTTTTTCTGGTGGATGTACTCGACTATGCGAGTCGACCCCCCTACATTGTTGAGAGAGTGGCAGTTCGAGGTGATCTCTTAACCCCAAGGGGAATAGCTGATATGCTTGGCCACCATTGTTCAGAATGCATTGCATTGTGTAGCCGATGCAGCAAATCTGCAGTCTTCCTGAGCCAGCAACCTCTCAGATGCCATACTGGATCTTTTGTGCAACTCGACATCTCAACTGAACCAGGGGTAAAATGTGAGGGTACTAGACCCAAAGCAAACACCAAGCGACATCGAACCAGCGATGAAACCATGCTTTTTCAGTTCCAGCCACCCCCTAGGCAGGGTGTGCGCACTGATGAGGAAGTGTATTTTTGGGTTCGGAAAACTATTGTTTACCAGGCTGCGCTGCTCAGTGCTGCAATACAGGCAGGCAGGATAACAGCAGGACATTGGCCCTTGATCATAGTGCACTTTGAAGAAGTTCCGCACCAAACACGTACTTTCGGTTTTGAGGAGCATCATCAAGTCACTACTGACCAGATCCGTATTAGATTTCGTGAACTATATGTTGAGT